GCATACAGATGCGATCTGTCTTAGTGCACGCGGAATTGTGGAGTGTGGCATCAGGTGCTGAACCTAGTAATACTGAGAGTTCAAGGCCAAAAGATGAAAAGGCATTAGCAATTATAACGCTAAGTGTAAAAGCTTCACAATTGGGCTTCATTAAAAATTGCAACACTTCGTACGAGGCATGGAAAAAGTTAAAGGACGTTCATCAGCCGAGTGGACCTGTACGGAAAGTGTCGCTGTACAAGAAATTGCTAGGCAAACGCATGTTTCAAGGCCAAAGCATTTCAAGTTACATACACGAATTTAACGAAATTCTGGATGGTTTGTGTACAGTTGGCATCGAATTAAATGATGAGTTAAAAACAATCGTGTTGTTGTCAAGCTTGCCCGAACCATACGAAAATTTTGTCGTCGCCATTGAGACGCGTGACAATTTACCGTCATTTGATGTGTTATGTATCAAGCTGATGGAAGAGGGAGAGCGCAGAGGCAATGCAGATGGAGAGAGCGAGAATGCAAGAGCATTTATAGCTACGCAGCAGATCGTCGCGCATTCCAAAGCGAATTCAAAAAGGAATTCAAAAATCGTCGTTTGCTACAACTGCGGCGAAAAAGGGCACTACAAGGCACAGTGCAAGCGTGAGAAAATTCGCGGTGAAGGGAAAAAGCAATCGACAAAGAAAGAGATGGAAAAGCAGAGCAGCTTGTTAAATGCGTTGGACGTTGGAAAGATAGAGAACAACATGTGGTGTCTGGACAGCGGAGCAACAAGCCATATGTGTTGCGATAAGACGTTATTTTCAAAATTTATTGCGCACACTGAAATGATCGGTTTAGCTGACGCTGGTTTCCTGAAGGCCGAAGGCAGAGGAGAGGTGAAGTTACAGACAGAACTTTGTACCTTGGTGTTGTCAGATGTACTGTATGTACCGAAAATGAATGGCAACTTTATGTCCGTCAGCCGGTCAGTGCAAAAGAACAATGTTATACATTTTGGGCCACATTTTGCTAAAGTTATACAAAACGGCGAGTGTATACTGAAAGCGAATAAAGTTGGGAACCTTTATATGTTTCAAGGCAAACAAAATAGGTGTTATTCCGCAACTGAATCAGATGGTACATTGTGGCATAAGCGTTATGGCCATTTAAATTTTACCAGTCTGAAGGAAGTGATCAGCAAAGAGCTAGTGCGTGGTATTGGAAAGTTTTTTTTCCCAGACAACTTGAATTGCAAAACGTGTATGCTAAGCAAAATACATGTACAGCCATTCCCAAAGGTAAGCACTAACCGTGCCGAAGAGCTGTTGGAACTGGTTCATGCTGATGTATGCGGCCCATTCGACACGAAGTCACTTGCTGGATCCAAATACTTTCTGACCTTCATCGATGACAAGTCCAGGCGTATATTTGTTTATTTTTTGCGGAAGAAAGATGAAGTGTTCAGTAAGTTCGTCGAATTTAAAAACTTGGTTGAACGGCAAACAGATAAAAAGCTCAAATGTATTCGAACCGACAATGGAGGCGAGTTTGTCAACACAACATTCAACGGTTTCCTGAAACACCATGGTATTGCAAGGCAATTGACCGTGGCTTATACTCCGCAGCAGAACGGCGTGGCGGAAAGAGCAAACCGGACATTAACGGAGATGTCCAGATGCTTATTGGTGCAGTCGGGCCTAGGCGAGTCTTTGTGGGCCGAAGCAGTCAACACAGCAGTATACATAAGAAACAGATCACCTACCAGTGCACTGAACAACCTGACTCCAATGGAAGCGTGGACAGGTAAGAAACCCTGTGTTAGCCATCTAAAAGTTTTTGGTTCCATTGCAGTTGCACTTGCAAAGGGTCCCCGTAAAGGCAAATTCAAACCCAAAGGGCATGAGTACCGTATGGTTGGGTATTCGGTAGCAGCCAAAGGCTATCGGTTATACGACCCAGAGACGAGGACGATTGTCGAAAAACGAGACATTCTATTTGATGAGCGTTGTGGTGGTCATACCAATGAAGATACCGTTACGGTAGATTTTCCTGCATGCGAGGTTCAAGAGCATGTCACTCACACGGATGGTGACAGAAGCATCGACGACGATGACAGTGAGCACAGTTCTGACGACAGCAGCTCCAACGCATATGAGAGTGCAGTCGAAAAAGAAGACTCTGACGAGGATACTGTGAAGATTGGGCCAGGCCGGCCTAAAATTGTTCGAAATGGTAAACCTGGTCGTCCAAGAAAGCAATACAATGTGCTTGGAGCATTGGTTGCTAGTGACGTAATGGTTCCGACATCCTATGATCAGGCCGTTGGTAGCACACATGCAGTATTCTGGCAAGAGGCGATGCAAAAGGAATATCAGGCACTACAATCAAACGAAACCTGGCAGATGGCTGATTTACCAAAAGATCAGCGAGCAGTTGGTTGCAAGTGGGTATACAGCCTGAAACGTGACTCTGATGGAAAAGTCGAACGTTTCAAGGCACGACTCGTTGCTAAAGGGTGCTCCCAGAAGTATGGCGTGAACTATGTAGAGACGTTCTCACCCGTTTGCAGATTGGAAACCGTGCGGTTTATTTTGGCGTTAGCAGCGGAATTGAAGCTGTACCTTCACCAGATAGATGTGTGTACCGCCTATTTGAATAGCGACCTGCATGAAACTGTTTATATGAAGCAGCCACAGGGATACACAGATCCCAATAATCCAAGTAAGGCTTTATTGCTTAAAAAGGCAATATATGGATTGAAGCAGTCGGGGCGCGAGTGGAACTCCAAGCTCGATTGTGTACTACAAGGCATAGATTTTGTAGCATGTGAAAATGAACCGTGTCTTTACAAAAGGAACGGAAGAGGTGACTTATCATTAATCCTTGTTTATGTTGATGATATAATTATAGCATGCCGATCAAAAGAGGACTTGGCCAACATCAAGTCAGCCATTACAACATCGTTTGAATGTGTTGACAAGGGAGAGCTGCATTTGTTCCTTGGCATGGAAGTGCAGCGCGACGGTGAGCTTGGCGAAATTTCGCTAAGCAATTCGCAATACATCAAAGACATATTGCGTGAACATGGATGCGAGACCTGTAGACCTACAGCGACCCCACTGGATGCTGGTTTCCAAGTGATATGTACCAGCGAGCATTGTCAAAAGGTTGACATTGCATCCTACCAGTCTTCAATTGGCGAGTTAATGTGGCTGGCGCTTACAACAAGGCCAGACATATTGCATTCCGTTGCCAAGTTAGCTCAACGGAATCAAGATCCGCATGCAGAGCACCTAGTGGGTGTAAAACATGTGCTTCGATACCTGGCGTCAACTGTGGACCTGAAGTTGCACTACAAAGAGTGTGGACAACCCCTTACCGGCTATGTGGATGCAGACTGGGGTGGCGACCGCATCGATCGCAAGTCGTATACTGGCTATGTATACTACTTGGCTGGAGGACCCATATCCTGGCGATCTGAAAAGCAACGCAGCGTGGCACTTAGCAGCACGGAGGCGGAGTATATGGCTCTTTCAACTGCGTGTAAGGAGGCCATATACCTACGGCGTCTTATAGTGGAGATTGGCTGCGGTGACTCGAGTACTCCAACTATTCTTCATGGCGATAATTTAAGTGCTCAACAATTAGCTAAGAATCCTGTACACCATGAAAGAACAAAGCATATTGATATTAGATATCATTTTGCAAGACAGGTTGTAAACGAAGAACAAATTGTTTTACAGTATACATCAACCAATGAAATGATAGCTGATATTTTAACGAAAAATCTCCCTAAAGCGAAGCATGTTCATTTTACAAAGCTGTTAAATTTGATTTGAAAATTTTTGTAAAACATGTTTGCATTGAGGAAGGGTGTTGAAAATCAATACAAACATAAGTACCAATGCACGCATGTTAATATAAGCAGATAATAATCTTATGTTATCTACAAGTTATCTGTCACTGTTGCATACGAATGTAAGCATAAAGAATATGTATAGCAAAAGTGTCAGTCTCCAATAAAACTCTAAAGCGAACAGACGCACGGCGGTCCGCGACTATTGTCTTTTACTTTACTCCTACTGAGCCCTTCCCTTTTCAGCGAATATATAATCTATTCAATAATTTCCACTTGCACTACAAAAAATATTTACTCACAAATTTTTCAACATTTGCTTTGGGAATCAATCAAGAGCGAATACAAGCAGCTGAGATGAATCAAAGGCATTTAATAATAATAAAAACCATAAATACAAGCGGGGAAAAAACTGGAGAGCGACAGAACATAGAAACGGTTTAGCTATCGCTTTTTGATATTTTTTCTTGTTCCGTTTCTAAGAATGGGGCAGAACAGGGCAAAGGAGGCGAACGCATAGAGGTCTGCTGAGATTGTACATATGTTTGTGAGTGCGACTGTGTGTGTGTGTTGTTGTTGTTTTTGTTGTTGATGTGCGAGTTTGTTATCAGAATAACACACACACACACACAAACACCAATGCACTGCACGCGTCAAATGAACTGAGAGCAATATGTCGGCCGATTTGGGAAAGAAATACAGTTTGAAAAACAAAGAGCGCAGCTCCCTCCTTTCTCTCTCTCTTCTACGCTCTCTCCTTTTATGTATTTGTTTTGCTTTCAAAGCAGGCATGCCGATGAGCTCATGTCCGTTGTTTATGCTGCAAATTTTTTTGCAATAGATGTGAAAAAGCATGCCTGCACTCTGCCTGTGTGCAACAGTTTGGGTCAATGAGTGGCAGCAGCGTGTGGCAGTGGCATGCGGTTAGTTTGAGTGACGCATATAAATTCAAATGAGCGCACCAAACCTGGCATATGTTTAGTGTCTCACAAACGCACAAACACACACACACACACACTTGTTTGTTTGTGGAATGGGGTTAACTTTGACGCTTCCATTAAAAATAACTTTAAAGTTGACTGTTGACTACAATTAGTCGCCGGCATATGTATATCTACCTATCTACAGATGTATGTACATATGTATACATTTGATTGTTTGTATTTACCGTCTGCTATGGTCCAACGTATTTCACTTGTTACTGGATCGATGGCAGTCAGCCCACCGCCCAGTGTGGAAAACACCATAAGCGCCTCCTCGTCGCGCGCCAAGTCCGTGCAGTCCTGCAATTGATGAAATTTAAATATATATAATTCATTTGCATTTTCTTTCCGGTTCATTGCCGTTTTTGAAGCACCCACAACCGCACGCCCACAAAGGCAGCAGCAACAGCAATGAAAACAACAAAGAGCTAATAAGTTTTCTTCGTCTTAGTCGAAGCTATATACTATATACATACATACACTCTTTAAAAAAATAAGTTTAAGTGTCGTTTTCGTATTTGAATAAAATTGTAGTGAAGTTAATGAGCTTATTATAATATACGCACTGTGTGTTCGAGGGAAATAATTGTTATACTAACTCCACAAATCTGAGAACTGAGTTAGAGGCAATGGCCTTAGAAATCGAATTCAAAAACAGCCTCAAAAATAGTTTTCATCATTTGTACTTGTGTCCGTCAAAAAGAGGAATAGATTCAATGTTCTAATGCGATATCTCTAAAAGTTGCAGATCTCTGATCTACGCTGCTGCCTTGATACTGTTACAAAACTAAACCAAAAACAATATGTACCCTTACAACACTTTTCACTGAAGGGTATAAGAGCTAAACCTACCGTTTTTTCTTCGGCGCTGCTTACAACTTCTGCTGAGTCGGCATCTGCGCTGGTGTGTTTTTTTGTTGCTGATGCAATAATTGTGCCGCTCAGCAAAATCAACGCGCAACACATTACAACGTAGAATTTCATTTTGCAAACACCGAACGGCGACATCGTCGTCGGCGTTATCATCGCGTATGTGTGTATATTATTTGTGTGTATGTGTGTGTGTGTGTATTTGTGTGCGTTTGCGAACTAAATAATTAATGTGGGATTTCTGTTAGTGGGACACTTGCAATTAGTGGTTGTTTTTCATTTTCTCCTATCGCTTCACAATTCGACACAATATTGAATGCATTTGAGCATTGGTTTCAATGCATATTGTTTCACACGCATTTAGTTCATTAATTTGTACGCATTACTTCTCTTTCGAGTTCAAGTATTCACCGTGCGCCTTCATTGGGATGTCAAATAAAACTGGTTTCATTAATATTTGTCACTGCAGCTGTGTTGACAGAACAAAAAGTGGCAGCACTCATCATAGGCGTGTACGGTGCTGCCACTTAGATAGCAGCAATACACTGCACTGCACGATTTTTAGCCAAATACGATGCAACAAATAAAATGGGAATTTGTTACGATCACGTTAAGCATCATACACTTTCATTTGTGTGCAAGTGTTTTTTTTTCAAAGACAGTTTTCCTAGTTCTAATCCGGCTTATTTTAATTCATTCATACGTTATCATCGCGTATGTGTGTATGAAAGACATACCATCCCCAGCCAGCATGAGTGCTTCCCAACAATACAGTAAAAAATATACACGTACATTTGTGTGCAAGTGTTTTTTTTTTCAAAGACATTTTTCCTGGTTCTAATCCGATTTGTATTTTATTTTCAGACACGAACCCCTGTCCGGAAGCATGAACGACTTGCATCGCTGACGCCCAGTGCCGCTAGATGGCGTTTCGTTTGAAGTTCCCAGACCTGACGGGAATTTCTTAAACTTCCGGCGTTGCCACCCTGGCCGGTCAGGTAATATATACATATATACATATTATATATTGCTTAAATACCATAATTTAAAATAAATAATAAACTATAAAGATATAAAAAGTGCTAGTTCGATCGGCCAATTTAATAAATGTTAATTTTGTTTATGTATTTTAGATCACACGTTTATTATAGTTATTTGACCGCAAATCGTGATTTAAATTGATTTCATTATAACGAATGCCATATCGTAATTAAATATTTTGGAATTCGATTGAATGAAAGATCTTCGGGTATCTTTTTGTGTATCTAAAATTGTCGAAAAATAAATAAGAATCCTTGAATTAAAGATAAATGGGAAGCAAAGAAAACTTTGTATTAACGAGATTTTTCCCCGAAACCCAATGGTCTTATTTAAAATTCTTCCCTATATTAAAAATCGCATTAAAGTATAAGCTAGCAAGTTGAAAGGGAATTTAAGCATTTGCAATTACACGCCATTTAGAAAGGGTATAAAAATACACACATTATAAATTTTATCTCGAGCATCAACATTTTTACAATATTGAACACCTTGACTTGGGTTGTTCTTTTTATAGCCTGTACCCAAAGGGTGAAAGGCTATACTAGTTTTGTGCGCATGTATGTAACACACAGAAGGAGGCGTGGCAGACCCCACAAAGTATATATATTCTTGATCAGGATGAGAAGCCGAGTCGATATAGCCTTGTCCGTCCGTCCGTCCGTCTGTCCGTCTGTCTGTCCGTCTGTCCGTCTGTCCGTCTGTCCGTCTGTCCGTATGAACGCAAGGATATCAGAAAGTATAATAGCTAGAATAACCAAACTTGGTTTCCATATTCTCCTAAGACCGAGAAAGTACGAGTTTGAGTTTTTTTTCGATGCACCCCCCCACTCCCCCGCAATTCGTGTTTTTTCTTATAACTTCCGTAATTCTCGGAATTTTGAAATCAATTTTGGTAGGTACATCCAGTTAGTACTAATGTGCCCGTGTGCCAAATTTCATCATGATAGGTCAATTCTGAAGAAAGTTATAGCCATAAGTAAAATCGCTGCTCATGCGCTGCCTGCAGCTCAGTCGCCAGCGCTGCCCGCAGCTGTTGTTGTTGTTGCTGCTTTGGTTTAACTTTGTGCTGCATACATACACGCATATAAACACGCATAGGTACGTGATGTAAATGTATGCTGTTAAAACTAAACATAAACATATATTCTAATTTAATTTAATTAATTAATTCATTAATTTTTTTTAATAATTTAATTTTTTTTTAATTTTTTTTTTTTTTAATTTTTCTTTTTTTGTGGAGAGTACAGGCTATTTTACTGTCGGGCTTGCTCGACTGTAGCGTTCTATCTTGTTTCTTTATAGCGCGTACAGCCTCCACGAATATTTCCGAAATATTATGTTTTATCTTAGCTGACGACTCGATAAAACTGTCCGCATTCACTTTCGAGCATAGTCTTTTTCCCTCTGCGGTGGTGACAAATTTTGATGAATTTTTTACACGTAAATCCGACTTGGTACCCACTAGCACAATGGCAGCGTTATTGGAATAGTGGCGTATTTCCGGTATCCAAATATTTATAATATTGGCATAGGACTGTCGAATATTGATCGCATAGCATAATATGAAGCATTTCGTCTACGATATAAAACAATTTAGTTATATTTAATAAAAATACGAACTCACATACATTGGGATAGCATAGGGTTCTTAGATTCTCATAAACCTCCTGTCCTGCCGTATCCCACAACGAAATTTTGTGCTCATTATTATCTACAACTGTCTGGGTTGTAAAGTTATCAAATATTGTAGGTACATAATCTATCGGAAATTCATTTTTAATATATGACATTAGCAGGCAAGTCTTGCCCGTATTCCCGTCACCAACGACAACTATTTTGTATGGTTCTGGTGATGACATTTCTATAGACTTATACAAAAGTCTGGGTTAGAATACAGTTTAATAAATGTTTGTATTAACAAAGATAGCTTACTCTTTATAAGATTCTCGTGCGCCTAAATGATTCCAACTTGAACTCCAATACACAACTATTTAAGTAAGCAAATCGTCAGTTTAAATGAAAATGAAATTTTGAAAATGCAAATACCCGCACCTACATGAGTAACCGATTTCTTTACACGCATTAATAAGCTAACCTTAAACCGCAGCTACTAAAAAACATTACTTTCTTATTTTAGTACTTTGATATTGAGAAGGTGAGTGTTTTCAACAAATATAGAAATAATGGATGTATAGTATAAGGCGGCCCACTTTTTTTAAATGCCAATGGGGGACAATTTAAGGTGGTGTTATTTTCGATGTGTCATACATATGTACATTTATGTATTAAATATTCACCACTTAAAATAATAATTAAATTGGTTTAGTTTTCTTTATTTTTTAAACTATATTTTTCACACGAGTACCGGATTTTTTACCCTGTACCCGTAGGGTAAATAGTGTACATATATTAGGTTTGTGCAAATTATATAGCAGGCAGAAGGAAGCATCTCTAACCCCATATGGGGTATATATTCTTAATCAGAACGACGAGAAAAATCGATCTAAGTAATAACCAAACAAGCAACATAAACCATATTTGCAAAGATAATTTATATACATATGTATACATAAATATTTCTTTTTTTCAAATTGTATCGGTCAATTCTAAGTTACCGAAACAACTTTACTCCAGTACTACATCGTAGGGATGTTAAATAACATCGCTATATCGAACATCGACGAGGTTTTTAACACGATGCATCGATGTTTTTCAATGTTTTCTTGTTTGCGATACATCGTCGATCCATCGATTTTTGTCCAAAGCTGGAACATTTTTCATGTATTATTGGGCGGTCACATTTCTTTGTGTGGCTTACCGAAGAAGGTGAATTTGTATTTATGTACTTTTTTTATGTTTTCATTAAAATGTGTATTTTGTTTATATTTTCGATTGTTATGCACATTTAATATGCTTACAATGCAATTCGATGCAAAGCATGGGTTTGATTTGTTTTTTAAATTGTATATTTTTACAAGTTTATTAAAAGTCAGTTTTAATATTACTTTATTGGCCAATGACAGTCTCTTTTGATATATAAGCATTTTTTATTTAAAACATCTCTGTTGTTTTTCTCCCTAACATGAGCTTTTTGCATTTAATTGTATGCAATTGCCAATATTATATTTTAAGAGAAGAATGCGGGACTGTCTGTCTGTCTGGATGAACGCCTATTAACTCTTCCAAAATACAGGCGAGTTTATTTTATTAATTTCCCCCACCACAGACCAACGATACAGAGTTTTTCAATACTGCACATTATTAAAAAGTTGCATAAACAATCTATATACAACTATCTATTTTTGTTTCAAATTTTAGACTGATTTTATAAAATATTTATCACACACCGATCTAAGAAGTAAATTATAATTGAGTTGTTATCGATTATTCACCTTTAAAAAATAATCGATTGAACCGTTACTTAATCAAATCTTTCTCAGCTCTAATGGAAAATGATCATACATTTTATTGCTCACATTATAACACAGAGTCGCTGAAAACAGACTTTGGGATTCTAGAACTTTTCAATTTATACTGCGTTCGAAAAAACCAAAGTACGAAAAACACATCTATTGAAGTCGAATCGGTCTAGTATTTTATATTTTTAAAGATAAATTAAAAGATTGATTCTAGAACTTTTCAAATCATATGGGTTTTGTAAAAACTAAAGCACGAAAAACACATCTATTGAAGTCGAATCGGTCTAGTATTTTATATTTTTAAAGATAAATTAAAAGATGGAAGTACAATTTTATACATAATTTTAATGTTCTATTTAGTTTTCTCTTTTTATACAAAGAAATGCACTTTGGCTGCATACAAATTGAATTTTACACAACATTATTAGTTTAAAATACAGTATTTAAGACTAAATTCAGCACTATACGTTTTACATACCGCTTGCAAGCCCAATAATCAATTGAGGAGAAAGCTAGCACTTAAATACAGACCTTAAGAGTACATTTACTACCATCTTTGTGAAGAACGCAAATCAAATAGCGCAACAGAAAACACATAAAAATATACACACTATATGTATACACACGTATGTTTGTATGTATGTTTGCATATGTCTATATATAATCGTATATGTATGTAAAAACTATAAAACGAAATCAGACAAAAGTTACATTATACATTACGTATACATAATAACATTATATAACATAAGTAGTCATACACTTAATTACAGTATTTTGCACGTCTGGGGCTTGGACTTTGGTTTCTTTTCCACAGCTCGGACGGCCTCCTCGAAAACCTGGGGCAACCCGATCTTTTTCTTAGCCGAACACTCTACCAAATTGTGCGCATGTATCTCTTTGCGTAAACGTCGACCCTCCGCTGTGGTGACAAATTTCTCGGAATTGGGTATGCGTAAATCGAGCTTGGTACCCACAAGTACGACGGGAACATTATTAGAAAAATGACGAATCTCGGGCCACCATTTGCTTTTGATATTCTCGAACGAGGTGCGACTACTGATGGAATAGCATAACAGGAAGCAGTTGGTCTATGAAAGAAAAATAAATATAAATATAATATAATATATAGATAACAATTTCAGTCTCGATATCTGAGCAAACCAAACAGTTGTTGGTATTTAGATTGATTTCTACTCCAATCGTTCCTATAACAGTTACTACATGATATAATGGAGCGATTTTAATGAAAGCGCTATGAAATGCTCATGAATACCAGATTTTTATGAAGATCCTACTAAGAACGATTTTTGCATCGATCGCTCCTATGGTAGATCTATATAAAAACAAGTAGGGAAGCTAAAGTCGGGTGTCCCGACTATGCAATACTCTGACATATGCTTAGTATAATAATTATAGAAATTAAGAAAATTAAAAAAAAAATCCAAGAATTACGGGAGTTAGAGAAAATCACGATTTGCGGGGGAGAGGGGGAGGGAGGGAAATTCCAAAATACACATTTTCTGCGTATTTAAATAAGGCATCTGATATTAAAATTTGGTGTCCCTAGGTCTTTAGTCTACTTTAGTCTCCGAGATATAGGCGATTATACGAACGGCGTTACAGAAAAATCCTCATAGGGGGGAAGTGGGGGAAAATCGAAACAATAAAACAAACTCTTGTAGCGTACACACATAAGGCATCTTTGTGCAAAATTTCGTGTGTCTAGCTCTTATAGTCTCTGAGATCCAGGTGTTCATACGGACGGACAGACTGACAGACAGACAGACAGACAGACATTAATCGACATTTCACTTATATACTCTTGTAAATTTCATGTTCACATTATAATGATGCTTTATATTGTTTATAATAAACTAGCTTTGCATATAAATTCCATGTTTGATGTCCTTAGCTGTTATGGCTCAAAAGTTCTCTGGACAAAAGGACATCAGATGGATGATATGTCTATAAAAACTCAACTCGTCGATCTGATTATATGTGTAGCTACATGTAACATGGGGTCAGCCACGCCTCCTCTTACACACAATTGGCGTTTTCGACCTCCGAGCTTACAAAGATTTCTTTACCTTAGTTCGAAAAACTATTGGACCTACTATTAATATAAAACAAGAAAGGAATGCTAAAGTCGAGCAGGCTCAACTCTTAAATACCCTGTACCACACCACAAAAAAGTATTTAAATTAATTAATTAATTAAATTAAATTAATTAACTAAATTAATTTAATTAATGAACTAAATATTAACTAATTAAATATAAAATATTCCATGCATGCATACATACATTTACATTTACATCAGAATCGTGCCTTATGCGTGTTTGCGTACTTGTACATATGTATGTATGTGTGCATTGGGCCTGGTTATATGGCTATAACTTTCTTTCCGATCATTCTATCATAATGAAACTTGGTATACGGATATATAATTAACATAATGTGACTACCAAATTTTAGTTCAAAACTCCAAGAATTACGGGAGTTATAGAAAATCGTTAATAGGGGGGGAGTGTGGGGGTGGATCAGAAAAAATGAACAAACTCGTCCTTTCTCGGTCTCAGGAGAATCTGTATACCAAGTTTGGTTATTCTAGCTCTTATACTTTCGGAGATCCTTGCGTTCATACAGACAGACAGACGGACAGACAGACGGACAGACAGACGGACAGACGGACATGGCTATATCGACTCGGCTTGTCATGCTGATCAAGAATATATATACTTTGTGGGGTCTACCAAGCCTCCTTCTGTGTGTTCCATGTGCACTCGCACAAAACTAATATACCCTTGTACCCTTTGGGTACAGGGTATAAAAAGATTGTCTTATATATATTTTGTGTCAAAACAATCAAGTCTATTTATTGTAGTCAGTTGAAAAGAAATTCGTCTAGGTACTTTATTTTCAGTGACCTTACTACTTGAGGCTTTCTCTTAATACTTATACGTTCCAATACATCCGATATTTTTCTATTTTTCGTAAAATAATATTTAAACGAAATTTCGAGAGCAAGAAAGTTATGTTACCTATGATGATAACAGTGGTCTTGTGGTAGCATTCTTTCGCCACTACATGTGCTATATGTCCTTGATCAAAAAAGGCTAGACGAGTCGATTTATCCTCTCGTTTGTTCCCCTATCCGTCTGTAGGAACGCAAAATTCTCGTAAGCTTTAAAAAGTAGAGAAGCCAAACTAAGCTCGAGATAGCTAGCTATGATATTGTATTGAATAGTTATTGAAAACTTATAGAAATGTTGGAGCTTTTCCCCAGAATTTTATTGAGATGACTCGTATGTAAACCTTCCGACACCGGACATGGATGCGATTGTAAAACATATTTGATTTTTGTTTCTTTGCGGTAAGTAAGCGATTAATAAATTTAGGTAACTCTAAGTTTTATGCCCGATCTTCGTTTAAGATTAATTGTGATAAAGAATTTGAATTTGAAGCTAATTTTTGTTTTACTATAATATGCCCTTATCGCTAGAGTATACGCGTATTAAATGCTATAGTATAACGATTAAGTTACCAAATTTTCGTCCGGCAACATCGGGATGAACGAAACTCTATATAGTACTTGTACTATCTATCTAATCAATATGGTTCTGCTTACATTTGGATATGATAGGGGCCTCAATCTTTCATAGTCCTCTTGTCCTGCCGTATCCCAAAGCGTTAGATTATATTCAGAGTCGTCCACTGTAATGTTACAGGCATGATTGTCGAATACTGTGGGTATATACTCCTCGGGGAATTCGTTCTGTGTATAGGTTATCAGCATACAGGTCTTGCCCACCATGCCATCGCCGACGATGGTTATTTTAAGCGGGCGTAGACTCTTTGCCATTGTCGCTGGTTCTGGTTCTGGTTTCCCGACGCCTTTGTTTGTGAAGCTGCGAGTGTAAGAAGGCGAGTAAGTAAATGCTGTATATACTCATATATATACACATATATATATAGCATGTATGTGTGTATGAATTTGTATTTATTTGTGCATATGCTGGAGTGGCGACAATTGCACCATTTGGTGGCATATGGAGTGTGTTCGCTTTGCCACACCCCTCGCACAGCCCAGCCCACGTTCATATATTTATCCTGCCGCAACCGGAAATCAGCAGCAGTCTTTGCCTTGCTTTACTTTGCTTTTATTTGACTTCGTTTTTTGCTCAATGTGTGGGCTTGTGTGCTAATTATGCAAGTTAGTTGCACAAATTGTTGAGCGGTGCATTGAACTGTTGTCCAATTAACAGCAAGCTGTTGCTAACAGAGCGCTGTTAATTAACAGCTGCGCCAAATCACTTGAACTTGCGCACCGCAATAAAGCTAAGTACAGACATACTCGTGCTCGTGTGGACGACTTTAATCTAATCTGCAGCTGAACGCAATAACAACAACAACAGCGACCATTTTTATAGGGTATGCTTAAGGTAGTATAGCTTTAGTCACATGCTTGGGTAGCATGAGTTGCTTAAATACATTTCTTTTTTATGCATACAATGTTTATAAACATTTATGGTGCATATAAATAAAAAGTTTCTACACATAGTTAGTTCCACGAATTACATATTCTACTCCAAATAACTTTTATCTATATTAGTAGGTAGGTAGTTCCACGAATTACATATTCTACTCAAAATAACTTTTATCTTTAAACGCATATAGTGCTTTTTTGCATACAATGTTTATAAACATTTAATGCTTTTATGCATACAATGTTTATAAACATTTATTATGTATATAAATAAATAGTTTCTATACATAGTTAGTTCCACGAATTACATATTCTACTCCAAATAACTTTTATATTTATTAGTAGGTAGGTACATATTTTAGTCCAAATAACTTTTATTTTTATACGCATATAATGCTTTTATGTATACAATGTTTATAAACATTTATTGTGTATATAAATGAAAAGTTTCTATACATTAGTAGTTCCACGAATTACATATTCTACTCCAAATAACTTTTATCTTTATACGCATATAATGCTTTTATGCATACAATGTTTATAAACATTTATTGTGTATATAAATAAAAAGTTTCTACACATAGTTAGTTCCACGAATTACATATTCTACTCCAAATAGTTTTTAAAGTCAATAGTAATATGGGATAGCTGTTATAAGTAGCACAAAAGATAGGTAAAGACGAATTGCTACTACAAGTATAATAGCTACTTTGTTCTTGAGAGTTGATTATAAAATGATCAACAAATATTAGATTTAACACTTGCCTCACAATGGTCACAGAAGCTGCATGAAATGATGGAAAAAATCCATGCAAAGTTGATTTCAATATTATTCATATCTTTAATGGTTCATAGTAGAAATTTTTCTAATCATCATCTCATCTAGATATCATAAATAAGCTTTTCACAGCTGTTTTTTACATTGATTGCGGTCTGACCAAGAAATCTTTGGAAGTATGCAATACTATACAAGTAGATTAAAATCAACTGAAGTCTTATTTCACATTGACTTTTAGAGCAAACGTTTTCTCCTCCCGAAATATTTGAGAACTTAACAGAACGCATGATTGAACAAATTCAACGCCACCATATATTTTTTTATTTAATAATAATTTAATAGTTGTACTCCATGGGAGAGATTTTAAGTAAAGAATAAGGATTTAAAAAAAGAAGAATTTTCTTCTTAAAATCTCTGTAATTTAATTTTTATATTATTTTTTAATTTTTTTTTTTAAGAAATCATTTAATCCTCCTCTAGACTTTAAGCCTAATTCTTTTAAATTCTTTTTAAATAATCTCTAAAATATCTATTTCCTGCGAATAACTGTTGTTGTACACTTACGATTATATTTTCGTTTATTGTTCTCTTAGATTCAGTCTGGATTGAAAGAAATAAAATTTCACAAGTTTCTCAAGAATTTGAACAAGTGAAGCAGAGCGGCAGGGCAATAGACTTGAGAGATTTTTATGACAGAGACTAATCAAAAACGTGGCTACAATTGATTCTTGGAAATTAATTTGTCCGCGCAATCAAGCGAACATTTGCCAAAGTCATTAAACATAGTTGAGCTTATATAACAGAAAAATAATTTAAAACACTTTCACCGACCAACAACCAACCAACATTGAATTCCATTTCGTTTTGAATTTCTTACGGCTGTTGTGTCTGATTTTCTTTTTTAATTAAAACTCGTTTGCAACAGACTAGTTGCCCCAAACTCGGGGAAATCTAGTCCCGCTAAGCGAACAAAATCAAAGCCAAACAAACTGTAGGCGTTTATGGGACAATGCTCCGAAAAAGCTCACAATGATCGTACGCAGAAAACTCATTTGATTTCCTGGAAACGCCGAGCCAATGAGTCATGGAATGCCCCGAGAGCGGCTTTTGAGGTTTTGAGACAATTGCCAACCAAGAGCAGCGCAATGCTTACTTATTGCAATTATTATAAACATCTTTATGTGCTTCGCTCATTCTCAACTATTGCCACAGCTCTCTGCCAGATCTAGTGACTCACACAGTCGACTTCAGGCAATCCCATGTCCCGCCACATTATTCAATACAAACCACAATCTGTGGCAGCCAGACTTACACCGAACCGGTTCTGATAAATGTTTAATGTCATCTTTTACCGTTCGTCTGAGTGATTTCATTTTTCTGTCATCGTTTTCTTAACCTTTTCATTTTAGAATGCTTCAGAAGAGAATAAAAAAAAAAAACAACACTTGCCGCCACGCGATCTATGTATGTACAAGGTGTGTTCCAAAGTAAAGAGGACTTTTTACAAATAAATCGATGAAATGTCATGAAATTCTCACTGGACAAACGATAAAGATTCTAATGGACCAGTCGACATATAGATAGCGCCACCAGGGAGCGCTAGATTCAAAAAGTCGTGTTTACTTTGGAACGCACCTTGTATGTAGGTCTAGACTCTAGAGTTTCAATTCACTTTGAAGTTCAGTTCTTCAGGCACGTGTGCCTCCAAATGTGTGTTCTTGCCACTTATCTATCAAACCGACATACCGACTATACGCAATTAACCCTAATTGTTATGGGTAGGGGGCTACCGAAGGTCAAGTGCTCCCTTCATTAGTCAAACATTGTGGCCTTCTTCGATAAAGGTGGAAATTTTTGCTGGAATCGGTAAAAACAAATCAATTTTTGATAGACTATTAAATGCCATTAATTCAAGACACTCCATTGTTAATCAACTGTTCTGATTTTAGGCAATATATTTAATTCAGCTCTACTCAGAATATTGATTGCTAACCCCAAATACTATAAATCTAAAGAATTTCCAATGAAGTTCTGAGCTCGAATGTATGAATAAAAGAGATTTAAATGAGTTCACACAAGCTCTTGACCAAGTTTAGATAAGAATTATTTGAGCCAGCATTAAAAAGGCGTCTTTGGGTTTTAGAGCGATTTTCTAGGCCGTTGCGAAGAAACTAAATCGGTACACTGATAAAAAAGTTGCATATTACAGATGAATATTTTCATATTATATTTAATATTCTACTATTTCATATTCAAATCAAATATAAACATCGTAAATTTGACTAAAAACATATTCAATTAGTGATTTTGATACACTGATAAAAAAGTTGCATATTACAAATGAAAATTTTCATATTATATTTAATGTTCTACTATTTCATATTCAAATCAAATATAAACATCGTACATTTGACTAAAAACATATTCAATTAGTGATTTTAATATGAATAATATTCAAAACAATCTGTAAAACTTCGTTATTTAAGTGTGTCATATTCTATTTAATGTTGAACCATACTAAATATTGATAGGCACACACTTCAAAAAATAAATAGTTAAATTTACTATTATCCAGAGTAAATTATAATATTTATCTCAACTTTATTTTAAAGTTTTTTGTAGTCGATTTAAATGTACTAGAAATATATTAAATTTCAATCGACTAGAATTCTCAAGTCGGTTTTCAGATATGGTCGTTAGGTATGTGTCAAGTAAGTGTTATTCAATCAGCTGTTCCTCACTTGTAATATTAATATTGATCCAAACTATATACGTACTGAAAGGCATAAAAAACAAAAGGATTTTAAAATTACTTTTTGCTAAAAATGGTTCTATGGAGTGAAAAAAATATATATAGGAATAAAATATACACCATGGAAATGTCAATATTGAAAAGAGTTAAAAAAAAACAGTAAAATATTTTATAAATATAAAAAAAAACCTTTGACGTGAATCAAGTCCACGTCTCCACATCATCACTTGTGATTTAATATCGCCACACTTTAAATTTAATATTTTAATATAAAATTTAAGTGTGCAAAATCGATGGTAGAAATAGTGAAATCTACATGTAAGTATTGAAATTTCCGTGGTTTTTTTTATCAGTGTAGCATTAGCAACTGCTCTTCCACAGTTACCTTGCGAATCTGTTACTCTTTCAGAATACTTTCTGTGTGGGTCAGGGAGTTCAAAGATTAATCAAACCTTAATCGGCATGCTGTTGGCCAACTGTTTTGGCCCAAATAGACATTTGCTCCGCCATTGAAACGACGCACAGCTGCTTCCTTATCTGCGAGCAAAGTCTGTTTTAAGTGGCCCACAGATTAGTGGCAGTTCAGTGAATTTCCATATGTGTTCTACGAGCCGGCTGCATACTTGTATTTGGAGCTTTTATTTTAGGAATGTCGGCTGATAAAGCCGACTATATAAATAGTTACACCCATCCCCCCTTTGGACAGGTTGCGTTAATTGATATATAAATGAAATTATTTGCTCCACTTCTGAAGGAAATTTACACTTTTCGGTCACTGAATAACGTTATTGTTTATAATTTTTGAGAATGTGCTTCGCAAAATAGCCAAAAAGAAGAAAAAGAAAAGAAAATGAAGAAATGAAGATGCTGTTGTTATTTCGGCTGTTTATTT